TGTTGAGAGAGAATGTCGCGAAACTTGAAACAAATCTGCACGTGGAGGAATACCTTGGGCCACGACGGCCATCTGCGATCGAAGCCAAGTGGGGTTGTATTCTCGGATATCAATGCCGTCTAAAAGGATGCGCCCCCCAGTGACATCATAGAACCTTTCAAGGAGGCGCATAGCTGTGGACTTGCACAGCCTGCAGAGAAGAGAAAACACGAGTGACGAGTCGAATCTGTGTGAGCAGGGTGCCACAAATCACCGAATGACATTACCGAATCTTTTGTGTAGCTCTTACCTGCACTTCCAGTTATTCCCAATGTCTGACCCGGGCCGACCGCCATTGACGCCCCTTTGAGCACCTCTGCACCCCTAGGATACGAAAATTGAACCTCCTGCGCAACCAAAAAGGGAATGAGACAAGTCAAATCCATCAGCAGGATTGTCTTTTGCGTCTTGAAAGTTCTAAGGTTGCACTCACCTCGAATTTGATATGGCCTTTGGCTCTATTGGGTGGCACAAGTCCGCTGTCAGGGTCAATTTTAGACTTCAAGGTGCACATATCGTACACCTGTCAAGGGCAAGATGAAAGAGAAGAATGTTAGGACGGTCCAGCCAAAGGCCAATGGTTGTGAAAAACCAAGTCACATTTGAACTGTCGCACCTTATGCAACTGGGCTGCTTGCTTTATGACACTTCTGAGCAATCTCCAACGATGTTTGCGTTGTGTCTCCAACTTCTTCAGCAGAGGTCAATAGATTGTGGGCTTCAGCAATTCCGACCTTGCCTTTCTTTGCCAGCTTTGAAGTCGTATCAAGCTGCACCACTTCACCTGCTTGTTTGGCGATGGCATCTAGGAGGAGAAACAAGAAGGACGACGTGAGTGCATGCAGCTACATCCAGCTTGCATGGAACACTGTGTCAATCAAGGGTGGATTGTACTGTACCAATTGGCTTGCGCAAGGACTCGACCATAAACTCTCGCTGGCTAAGAAACATTGAAGTGGGTTTAGTGAGTATGTCCTCAAAATGAGGAAACATCTGGTGCAAGTTGTTGTACTGTTCCGTACCTTTTCTGAGCCTCGCAGGCGAGACTTTCCGTGTAGACTTTGACTTCCTTCTCGCACCGAGCAAATGATTTGAACATTCGAACATAGCTTGGATCCAAACGGTCCATCCAAGTCCATTCATCGCCTTCCAAAACTCCCCTGACAGCAAACTTATGAAGCCATCGAAAGCCAAAAGATGACATGAAATTGAATGCAATGACTGCAAACTGCGCCGCAAGGAGTGTGTACACGCTGCTGCTAGATGCCCTGTAAATGACGTAGACGTGGGTGACAATGGTGGTGATATTGCTGACCATGTCCTGTGGAGTGGACAAGAACTTTTCAACATTGTCGCTGGCTTCGTACAAGAGCCAAATAAAGGTCCACGCCTCTTTCCCGTCACGTTCCATGGCTCGCCACCATTCCAAGTCTCGTTTGGTGAATGCTTCAAAGTATTTCACTTGAAGCTTTCGTCCCAAGACACGCTGCCCACGCTCAATGAGGACATTGGTGACCAGTTCCATCACGGTGCTTAGAAGCTCAATGAGTACGGATGCTTTGGCCGCCATCCAGAACTGGTCGCCTCCTTCAATCAGACTTGGAGCACTTGGGCTCTGTAGGAATAGGACAAGGCAGTCGTGGAGGCTGTAAGGGTTGTAAAGACTGTCTGGGCCGCTACCCAAATCAAAGAATCAGTGCCAGCAATGGCAATCATTTTGCATGCCTTGGAAATTCCCTCAAAGCCAATCTGAATTCCAAGTTTCCAAGCGACACGGATTTGCCTATTGATGCGTTTTTTGTCCTCCGGATCTTGAAGGTACCCTGCCGAAGAGGAAAACTTTTTGAGGTTACCATAAATCCGTTCCATGAGAGCTGCCAGCTTTTCGCCATCGGCATATTCTACTACAGTCTGTTCTCTGGTTTTGTCAATGGCAATCCTGAGCTCTTTCTCAAATAATTTCCACAGCCAATCAATGGCGTCCAACATGACGGCCTCTTTGTAGTCGGAAAGTTCGGCCAGTTCACGAATTTTGGAGAGTAATTCCTTGGCATCCACAGTTCCCAGCTCATCACTTTTCAAGTCTTCGTGTTCCTTGAGAGTGGCCACATATTCCTCAATCACTTCGTGTCGTTTCTCAACTGTTCCTTGTACATGTCTTCCTGCGCTTGGGTCGGTTTGGCAGTCAGAACACTCACAATTTGGAAGAGAACCACCGTGGAAATAACGGCAATCAGAATGGGTACATTGTGTACCACGCATTCTGCGGAAGGAGGCCAAGTCTCCCAGCAATCTTCGGAGAAAAAGCCCTTTAAGAGACCCACCACAAATCCTGATTGTTGATAGGATAACCCTGCTACCACCACCAGAATGGCCCCGATGGTGCCTGGTAACATCAGACTGTTGCCCTTCTCCACCATGGTCAATCTCTCTCTCTCGCGATCCTACTAGTACTATAGCCAGGATATTGGAAAGCTTTCTTATCTCTTTGTGTGGTTATTACATGAAGGATTGAGGCAAGATACCTCGAGAAACCGAATGTGGCGGTAGCACCGCTTGATCGCTCTCGGAACTTTTTGTATCTTCGTATCCTTGATCTTTCTCACAGAACAACCTTAATGGCTTACATTACTGGCAAAATTGTTTACACCGGGACAAGAATTTCTCTCTCTTTTTGGACATCGTCATGATGGAAGCTGATCCCTCCGGTGTTGGGCATTGCCTTTTGCACCTTGCAGTATCCGTTGCTGAGCACAGTACACACCCTAAAAGTGTCGGACACATCGCAATCACCCACTTGGTACTGGTATCCTTTTCTGAGCACAGTACATACCCTAAAAGTGTCGGACACATTGTAATCACCAACTTTGTACTGGACTGGGCTAACGGGCAGAAGTTTAACGGCAAGAAAGAACTGACCCGCGGTCCTTTAGCTATTAGGTATACCTTTGACGATTAGGTTCATTAGTTTTTTGACATGCAATGTCACGTATCGTGTCCAGTTTAGACCGCCCTTTGTAGAGCAGCATCCGCTTTAAATCTTGGGCAAGGCAGCAGGGCGATAAGCCAGATCGTCTTTGGCAAACAAGAAGTCTTGACAGCTTCGACTCTGCTTGTGCTGATCGTCGGCTCCGTGGCCACAAATGTAACCCCACTCGTTGAACTCACTTCTACATCCATTCTTCTCGAACTTGGCCTTGCAAGACAGCACCCTCGACGAAACGAGAGTGAACCCTGCTTCTTCCAGGAGCGGGAACATCAAGCCAAAGTAGTAAAGATCCTCTTCAGTTTTTACGAATTCTTCAGCAGCGTGCTTCTTCACAGAGACTTGCCCAAACTTGTGGAAGAAAGTGGGGTCCTCGACAAGAATGTCACGCATCATGGCAATTTCACAACCTTCGCAGTCAAGCCTGAGTACGTCGGCGAAATCCAACCTGAGAAACTTCTGGATGGCGGGGACGGAGGTGTTCCAGGAGTTGTGTTCACGTTGTTCTTTCGTCGGTTTTTCGTCTCCATAGCTATGCAGTGATGAAAGCTCGTAGTTTTGGAAGGAGACGGAGGGTGCCAACTTGGAGTTCTTCACGGCCACAGGGTCCACCACGAAACCCCTACATTCCATGACCTTGGCCAGGTTCTTCTCAAAGATACCGTCGCTGTGAAGACCAAAAGAGAGGAAGGAACAAGGCTTCGAGGGCAACGTGTCACAAATGTCGGTGGGAGAGTTGGGAACAAAGTCACAGATCTTTTCCTTTTCAATGTGCTGTTTCGTCCATGCCCCGCCAATCTTCCAACCATAGCGCTCAAAGTATGGAACCAACTCTTCCAGGGCCTTCACTTGCTGATCAGCAGTCATGTCATGCCACAACCTCCACTTTGGGTGCAAGCTGTGCTCGGATGGCTGGAAAGGCATCATGGCAGGATGAGCAGCAAGAGCCATCGCAAGGGATCGTCCACGCACACCTTTGGGAGGGTACTCAGAAAGGAATTTGCCCTCGTCAAGACCGTCGTTGCCACTGAAAGCAATCGTCACCATCATGACCACTGCGACCATCGTCATAACGGTCCTGCCATGCCGAGTGATGAGATCACGTCGAGCCTCTCGCTTGAGGACCTTTCGGTAGTTTGTTTCCTTAACAAGCTTTGTGGCCTTGTAGATTAGTTCTCTAGACTTGATTTGCAACCATTCCTTCGAATTGAGAAGGTTCTGCTTGTTAATTTGCTTCATCATCTCCATCACAAGGTAGAAGAACATCTTGGCTTTCTTTTCGAAAGCTTTCTGGGCAAGAAGCATGTTGGGCTTGGCTTCTTTCATTGCTTCCACCACGGCACGGAAGAACTCAGTGGACTTGGCTTCGATCTTCTGCTTTGCAACCAGCATCGTTCGCTTGTCCGCATTCTTCGCCATCTCCAACATGCCAATCACAAACTCTTTGGCTTTGTCCGCGATAGGCTTGGAGTTAGCAGAGGAGGAATCAGCCGATTTGTCCACATCATCGTTCTTCTTGTGATTGGCATCATCGTCGTTCTTCTTGTGTTCGGCCGGATCGTTGAATGGTTGGTCAATAGCGTCGTCTTTCATCATGTTGATTCGATTCTTTACGTTTCAACTTAGCTCGGAGGTTCAACAGTTAGTTTTGGAAGTCGGATGACTGGAATCGCTGAAGTTCAAATTATGTGCACATTATGTGAATTTCTTAGGATACTGTTTGGGCATCAATTAAGATTTGGTGGCTCCGAAGATATCAACATGCATGACTGCTATCCCAAATGTCGCCGTAAGCATCAGCCTCGAGCTGTCCGGATGCCGTGTTCCGATGTTCCGATGCTGTGAAAATCACCACGAGTTTCCACAGGGGTCGTCGTACGCGGGCCGAGGAAAATCTTTGCGAATGCTCGACGAGCTTTAGTCACAGATCGCCGTCCAAGCGTCAGCACCATGCTAGCTAGCCAGCAGCAGATTCGGACAGTTCCAAGCAACCGGACACCACATACACCGGACATAATATCTTGCACATAAGTTTCATAAAGTTATTAGCAGCCAACAGCAAGCAAGCTGGCTGACCCAGTCGACCCATTATTCAGCTTCCAGAGATATTCATCCATTTGGTTGCACGAGACCAACAACGCAAAGAAGAAGAAGGAACACAAACAAGATGAGAGCTTCGAGACGCCCCATTTTGGCCTCTAGAATCAAGTCAGTTTTTGTTATTGTGCTCACGACAATGACAATGCTGCTCACGACAATGGCAATGCTTGACAACATCCGGAGCTTCCTGCAAGCGGCAAATGTTTCTCCTGGTGAATTCAGTGCGTTGCCGGGTGAATTCCTTTTGGAAGGACGTCGAACTCTCTCTGCAGAACACATGCCAGTGTCGAAGGATGGGGAGGCTGACTTACATTTTGGTATCCTCATGGACAGAAACCGAACAGAGTATCAAGATGCGTTTGTCATAATTGAACATCAATCTGGTCACGGCGAAGAAGTGACGAACAATGCTGATAGCAGGAGGCAGATTATGACCTCAGAGAAAACTGAAGTGCCCGTGGTAACGAACCTTGAAGCTAAGGAAGCTTTGAAGGTTCAATCGCGAGTGACCAATGCAACGCAGACATTCGGTGATGCCAACAATAACGATGATCACAACGATATTGAGAAAGCCTACCGGTATCCTAATTCGCCTACAAGTGAAGCTAGGAGAAAACTTGAGACAAAGAGCGAAGAGCCCAGCGTATTCGAGCAGGAGACAAACAAGATAGCGGGTGGCAACTCAACAGATACATCTGATGTGGATCGTGGCGCTAAGGAAGATACTTTTCCAACGTCACGGAAAGGCGTTCAGCTAAAGCTCCGGAGCCACCACAAAGCGGAAGCAACCGAACAATCATTTTAGTCCGCGTAGGCAAAGCCAGTGGCTCCACCATACGCAAAACCTTGCGCCTATTGAGTGCCTGAATCTTCCTGTAGGCATAAACTTACGGGTGAACGCCACGTCAACAAAGAAAGCAAAAAGACTGAAATGGTTGAGCGGGCGATGCAGACAGGGCAGAAATTGGCGTTTGAGACAAGGGATGCATTTCACATGTGGGGATACCATCCAACGCCACATGTGCCCAGGCTAAAAGCTTCTTGGTGACTTTTCGAAATCCAGTTGACCGCATCATCTCTGCGTTCAGATATAGCCATCCAATGAATTGTTATAAGGCGCAAGGATTGGCACCCGCCAAGGAAAAGATGATTGTTCCGGAGGCGTGGGGCTGTAGAGCTGTGGAGAGAGGTTACCGGCAAAAACCCAGAAAGATTTTGCCTACAAGTTCATGAAGCAATGTGTCCCTTCGCCTGCAATTGAAGAATTTGCCCAGAGCGTCATGCCACCCTGTGGGCCAAATAAAATTTTCGAGCCCTTTCAAAGGAGCAGAAAATGGAATGCCGTCGGATAGCCCAAGAAACAGTTCAAGGCAACTCAAACCACCAAGTAATTCCCCACATGGAGTTTAACTATGAGTACTACCGCACACAAAACACCCCATCAGCAAGTTTCCAGACAAAGAAGTCTTCGCCGTGAGGACTGACTTTGAGTTGGACGACATGGTGAATCTTGATAAATTCCTTGGTGGCAGAATGGAGCGGAGCCTGCCAAGAGAAACTGCAAGAAGGAGACGGCAACACAATCTCAGCCACCCAATAAGAAATGTAACTTTAGTAGATATGGAAGATACTGCGTCGACGACTCTACTAGTCATGTCGAGAGGCAGCTTTTGCTCCAGTTTGGAATGACAGAAAGCTCTGGTGGTACTAGACCAGCTACTAGTAGTACGTTGCACATCTCCAACTCCACCTTCATATTGTCCCCGGTAGGCGCGCGTACAGGAATGGTTGAAGATTGAAGAATCTACCGGTGTGCGGGAGTTGGTCATCTCGAAGATTTTTTCCAATACATGCATAATACAGGTATTCGAGCTGGCTAGCTGGAGGCCATCAGCACTCAGACAGCACAAGGAACACCAAACTTTCATCCAAATGTCGCACAAAATCAAGCCAATAGTTCAGGACGATGAAGAAACTAAGAGCAGCATCCATCAGAAATCTGCCCTCCAGCGCTACCTTCGTGGTTCTGGCATCGATTGCTGCGCTCGAAGCATTCAGGACTACGATCCCAGAGATCACAGACCTTCCGAGCCACAATGGAATCCGACGAATGATGGCCTTGGAAGACAATCGCTTTCCGACCAGGCCTGGTCTCTCAGATTCAATGTCGGTGGATCATGTTCCAAGCAATCGAAACGAAATCGTGTTTTCGCGGCAACCAGCGCAGCTCCAGCAGCAACCAATGCCCACAGCAGAAAAGGTCGCGCACGCGTCAGTCCTCCAAAAAGAACGTGGTGTCGAGGCTGTTCCAAGGGCAAGTGGAGATACAAGTGCAGATTTCCCGTCAAACAAAAGCAGCCAAGCTACTAGTAAGGAGGAAGACCATCCGACAGCGCCTGCGGAGGTAGAACCGATGCAAATTCCTCCCGGTAAGATTGAAAGGGGCGACCATACCAACTTGGCGAACAAAAATGCCGCATCAGAAGATGGTTTGTCAGTCCACGATGTGTCTACAGTTAAGAAACCCAATTCCAGTACAGAGTCAGGTCAGGATCAAGATCACACGGCTTTAATCATGCCAGATGCCCTCAACGAGAGCTCAAATCCAACTCAAGATCTTCCAATGGCTGCTTCCAGCTTGAGCTCCAAGAATCCACAAAGCAGCCCCAATTCAAGCAAACATCTCCCAGCCTCCTTGGACAGAAAATTTGAGAAGCCATCGAATCTCCTAGCCGAATCCAGTTTGAATGATAGCGTCCCAAATGCAAGAATCAACTCGAAAGGTGCAATCCCATCAGTATCCAGCAGAAACGAGAAGCCATTGAATAAAAACCGCGCAAAGGAAGAAATGGAGGCAAATTCAGAAGCAGGAGAGCATTTTGTGCCGCAATTGGTGGCAACGGAATCAACGTCCATCACAGAAAACGCCACAACTGTGCTGCGTTCACAGTTCCTAGGTGCAGATGCCGAAAGGAAAATAGTGCTCGTCCATGTGGGCAAGGCTGGTGGAATGTCCATTCGTGCGAATCTAGCTGCCAACTGCAAGGCTAGGGAGTTCAAAGGAACGAAAACGGAGCAACGAATCGAGCTAGACAAGTGCCTGAATCATTACAAGCCACACCAGAAACTATCGGGGCAAACAAGGGATATCTTTCATGTGTGGGATCTTAACCAGACCGCGATGGATGAAGCTACCAGCTTGGTTGTGACACTACGCAACCCCGTTGACCGCATCATCTCTGCCTATCGATACAGGTATCTGCAAGACTTTGCTCAAGAAGCCCCACTGACGTTCCCCACTCACAGAAATAATATGTTCTCGTTTCTCTTGTTTTCAGCCACCCAGATAATTGCATGATGTACTCCAAGAGGACCAATGTTCGCTTGCCGGCAACAGCAGGGTGCCACTTGATTAACCGTGGAGACATGGCTAGCCCGGACAAGCTAGGATACAAGATCTTCAAACAATGCTTTCCATTTGCAGGTATATGCAAGACTTTGCCCAAGAAGCACCGCTGACGTTACCCTCTAATATGTTCTCATTTCTCTTGTTTTCCTCGGCTCCGTATAGGTATGGAGGACTTTGCTCAAAGTTTGCTTCCTCCGTGGCATCCAAATGACCAGTTTGAAAAGCTTACCCACGCAGAGAGAGTCCAGTGCAGAAAGTATGCCAAGGAAGCAGTTGAAGGGAGGCCTATGAAGCGGGTCATTCCTCACATGCAGTGGAATTACGATTACTATGCAAAGAAGAGCTGGAACAAGTATCCCGAAAAGGAAGTCTGGGGTGTCCGGACGGAGAACGAATGGAACGACCTGGCAAAGATTGACACGATGATTGGCGGGAGCGGCAAATTCCGCTTGCACGGCAACACACAGACACACGGGAGCGAGCATTACGTTCCATCGCCTCTATCACAAGAAGCCTATGAAAAGCTTTGCTGCGTCCTGGAAAACGAGATTGACATATATCTTCAAGTTCTCGATCTGTCCTTGAATCTGGACCAGGAAGGCAAGCGCCAAAGTGAGCAGAAGGTACGGAAAAAGTGTGGAATTAGGACACCTTGGTCAGAGTGGAGAGCAACATGTAAAAAACGACTGGAGGTTGACTATGAAGCCTCTGATTGAATGAATGATCGAGATAATCAGCAATAGGGTCGATAATTGTTTTGAGTTGCCGACTACAGATAGATTTCATCTACCGGTAGCTATAGAGTCCCCTGAACTACATCCAGCAAATGGCCTGGGCAAATCTCGCTGTGTGGCCTCAACGAAACAAAATCAACAACAGCTGTAAAAAACCAATATCTACATAGTTGTCTATCTGCAGGCGCTGTCTCTTCAGGAAGAGACAGCACGGACCCCACCACCACCAGTTACAGCGTAGTGATAGTGAGCCGGCTTTGCTTGGATTGCAACCAAAACCAACCAACCAATCCATCTATTGTACCGCCATGGCATTGGGTGGATTACTACTATTGCGTTGTTTGGTGGTCCACGACCGGGTGGCCATTTGCATGGCTCGTTTGGTAGCATAGGGTGCACTCGCTCTGAAAATGTCAAAGTCGGGATCTCCCGTCAAGGCAATGCCTTCCAACAATCCCAATCCTCGCGTGACGAGTGCAAAAAAGGGTGGCACGGAAAAGGGATATTGAAAAAAGACTTGGTTGAGCTCATTGGAAATCTCCAGTAACTTTCGTTTGCGGGTTTGTAGATTGGATCCGGCATCGAGTAGACCGCCCGTGAGGATTTTGGTGAGAATAGGTGTAAGCTCTGTAGCGTCATAATCGTGTGGTAGAAATCCCAGTTGTTTCGTGTCGTCGTGAACGAGAGAATGAAAGTCTCGCTTCAAGAGATGCACAATGGCTTGTGACATGGCAGCTCTAGCATGCGGATCGACAGTGGCACAAAGACCAAAGTCCAGCAGACAGAGTTTTCCCTCGGGTGTCACCAGGAGGTTTCCCGGCTGCCGATTGAAAAGGTCAAGCAATCAGGCAAACAAAAAGAAAGGATAGGATCACAGAGATCTCTCAAGTGAGTCGAGGTTGTTTCCATGATATTGCACTTCTTTGCCACCATACTGAATCCACTTACATGAGGATCGGCTGAAACAGGAACAAGGTCAATAGTAATGCATTGGTATGGAATTAGATGGATGATGTAAATGAGAGAGGACAGTGTTGTATATTACCTACCATGAAAGGCTCCAATATCGAGTAATTGACAGAGAAAGAGTTCGACTCCCACAGGAATCAATCTCCGGATCGTTTCGGGGTCAGAATCGGAGAGTCGGATTCCATCAATCCATTTGGTGGTCAGTACTTTTTGGGTAGTGAATTGGTCATAGACATTCGGAATGACAATGGGTGAATTTCGAGTTTTCATTTCGTACTGAAACTGTTTTTGATTTCTCGCTTCTAGCTCATAGTCGAGTTCTCCGTACGAACCACTGGCATATGTCTGCAAGAATTCCTTGTGGTACGGTTTTTGATGGGTAATGACACTGGTCCAAGCATCCATAAAGACGCCCCACTGTTGCAAGAGAAAGAGATCCAAACTAAAGGACTTCCGCATATTGGGTCTCTGTACTTTGACGGCCACGGTTTCCCCAGTCGATCGCAGTGTTCCCTTGTAGACTTGTCCCAATGAGGCGGATGCCACCAACTTCAAGTCGTTCTTGAAAATATTGCCAAGATCATGTAGTTCTTGTTGCAGGGTGGCCAGGGCAATTTCATCTGCGACGGGTGTGACGGCATCGCACAATTTCTGCAATTCGTGCAAGACAATGGGCGATACCAGATCGGGTCGAATGGAGAGCTGTTGTCCGGCTTTGACAAAGGCAGGACCCAATTGGGTGAACGCGTCTCGCCACTGTTGGGCGTGTTGTCGCGTGGTCTGGTCATTATTTGACGTGTTCAAAATATGGAAATCCCACACATACAACGCCACCAGTGGCCCCAACGCCGTAGCAATTTCCAGGACTCTATAGGCCACGGATACAGGTCGAATGGACCAGTAATCATTGAGAGCATCCCAATTGTAGCGACGAGGCAGTGTGATTTGGTCGTTGCGCGTGGCTTGGAATTCGACAAACGACGCGGCGCCCAGGGTTCCTGCCACGGTGGTGGCACCGAGGGTGATCAGAGGACGACGCTGTGCCGCACGGAGGAGTCTGGAGGTCATGGTTGCAACAAATCTTATGGTGTATTTACTATGATGAATGGGGGGAAGAGAGTTGTCTTTCTATGGGGCTTTCCTGCCTTGACTCAGCGCCGTGATGTTGTGGACCAGCCACGAAAGAATTCTGAAAAAATGATGACGAAGAAGCCGTTTGGAGCTTGTGAGGGCAGAATTAGTCAGGTCACGAGCCATATCAGTCCCTAGTACACATCGGTTCACGAGGGAGGGATGGGGACAATAAGCGCCGGGCTAGCCTAATAAAAGACTTAATGAAATTTCTGGAAACTGCAACAGGATTCGGACTGAGCCTCTTGTGAATCTTTCCGAGGCAAGTATGCAGTTGGTAACTGTTTAGCATTGGAAAAGTGACAAATGACGGATATATTGATTTATAGGTGTCTGGTATAACGCTATTGATTGCTTTAGTGTATCTTTTGAGAAAAAAGTTTCGGAAAGATACTACGGCCTCCGGTTGAATTGGCCAGAATGGGCTCGGGAAGAAAATTGGAGGGCCCCGGAAGAAAATCTGACTTTCCCTGTAGAGCTCTGCTACAGTTTCTACTGAGGGACAAATCCGAACCTTCATGGAATCGGGAGGAAAATTCGACGGTGTCGCTCGGCGCGCAAAATCCAACCAACAAAGAAAAGTGCCCTTAAGTAAATTTTCTTCCCAGCCCTCGGATTTTGCTCCGGGGCCCTCCAATTTTCTTCCCGAGCCCATTCTGGCCAATTCAACCCCAAGCCGTAGTAGCACGAAAATCCGAGCCGGGCAGCTATTGGCCCCTGTGAACCGATGTGAGTAGAAAAGATCGTGTCTGACGTCACGGATGTTGACACCGTGATGAGAACTCCGTGATTGGGTCTGTGCGTGGGTAGTCCGTGCAACCACAACCAACAAACCAGAACAACCACAACAGCAGTGCCACTGCTACCGTATTGGATCCATCCATGTCACTTGCCCTCCATAATATATCTACTGGTTGACACTCTACTGTATTGTTGGAAGACATCCAGTTTTTAACCGTATTGATGAAGTATGATGTTGTGCTGGTCGTGATATCGTTCCTGTCCAGTTGCTGGAGTTCTAGATCCTTTCTTCCCACAAGCTCTCTTCAGAGACGACAAGGGAGGAGAATACCCACAAAATCTCCTGATGGGATCACCCATGCTTACAAGGATGGAAACACAGACCCAAAATTTCGAAGAAAGGTGCGAGGACGACAACCACAAAGAACCAAGAAGCAGCACGAGTTTGCCCAGATTCTGAAACCATTTCGGACACCCCAGGAAATTGATGCCTGGATGCAAGGTCTCGTCACAGTACAACAAAGACAATCCAACAACACTACAGTCCTTTCAGTATTTCCTCCGACTTCTTGGTCGTCGCGTGACGAGACGGACTTTATTCGATTTCTACGCGACCGGCAAGCCTTTTTGGGGTTAGAATTGTTTGCCTGTCATTTGGCACGCCAGAATGTGTTTGTCTACACGGCCGCCATTTCCTCCTTGGCAACCTCCAAACAACGCAATGTACGCAACCGAGTCCATTCTCTACTACAATCCATGGATGATGCCCAGGTGCTGCCTTCAGCCCTCACGTTTGCGGCACTCTTTCAAGCCACGGATGGTCCGGAAGAAGCCAAACAAATGATGACTCGACTACAACACAACTACCAAGAAACCACCTGGTCCGTCGAGGCATTCCATCAAGCCATTTTGGCGTGTGCTCGAACTAGAAAAAATTCTAGACATAAACCATCCAACAAAAGCTGGCAAACGGCGCTCGAATTTACCCACAACCTCCGACGAAACGGTCTTACTCCCAATGTCAAGACATACTCGTCCCTGCTCCATGTCTGTGCCCGGACGGGACAATTACGAATTGCCATGTCGCTCATGAAAGAACTGCAATCTACTACAAGCCTGACAGCCAATCAAAAAGTTTGGACCAATCTGCTGAATGTCTGTGCGGTCGCGGGAGATTACAGTCAAGCCAATCAAGTCATTCAGACCATGCAGACGGAAGGACATGCCATCAAATTGGCACATTGCAGTGCACTCCTCAAAGCACTGTCCAAACATGGCATGGTGGAACTGTCCATGGCGCTTCTCGACATGATGACGGATTGGGATGGAACCAATACGAATAATAAGGAACTACAACTACAATCCACAACAGAGCTGGTGAAATTAAGGTCACCGGTAGCACCGGACCTTGTCGGTAAGAGACCAACCAACTAACATTTGTGAATGTATCATCATGTCCTACTGAAACAATGAAAATCTCAACAGCAGTTTGATTTGTTTATTCAATCTACAACTAGCCCTCAATACGATACTGGCCAGCTGCGCCAAAGCGGGAGACTTTGAGGCAGCCAGGGCATTGTTGGATCGAATGAAAAATGGAGAATTTCATGTGCCAACAAGGACAACCCAGCCAATCTACCCGGATGAAATTAGTTATTCTCTACTGTTATCCTCGTGCCGAGACACCAGTACAGCAAGAGGCATTCTGAAGGAGATGCATCTCTCGAGACGGCACAGAGTGGGTGTCGTTCGACCCAATCAAATCACCTATGCGCGTCTCATTGCTGTTTGTACCAAAGCCGATGTGCCAGATATCGACACGGCACGGTTCTTCTTAGAAAGTGCTCGCAAGGATGGGATCGAACCAACTGTGTTCATGTACACGGCGGCGATATGGACCGCAGAGAAAACTGCCAACTACACGGTGGCCAGAGAGTTTTGGGACGAAATGAAGCAAGAAAGGGTCGTGCCCAATGCCGTTTCCTATTCCGGTGTAATTTCTGCCGCCGCAAGAGCTGGATTGATGCACGAAGCAATCACTTTGTATAGGGAAATGAAGAGCGCAGGTTGCTCTCCCACGGTCGCAACATACAATGTGAGTTGGCTTCCAAATAATCAGATCAGCTGTGCGTTGTGTTTGCCTCCTTGCAGTTCTGCAAGGATACGGTTTCAAAGAAATACCTCGCGTGTCGACTTACCCCAACCCCTTCATTCGTGGTTGCTCCAGGCATTGGCACTGGCTTGCAAGTATTCCAAAACCGACAACAAACTGGTCCAGTTAGAAGGAGTCTTCAAATCAATGGATTCTTCGGATCTAAATGTCGACGTCGGTGGAGCTGTTATAGAAGCACTCATTGCAGAGTATGGAAGGCAAGGGTCCTATGAGAGAGCCAAGCAGATTTTTGATAAGATCGAAGGACCAAGCAATGGTCCATGCTTGCGTGCAATGCTAAGTGCCTGTGCGACAGCCGGTTCCGGTTCAAAGTGGGAGGAGGTATGTGCAGAGCATGGAACAGACAACAATACTAGGCCTGCCATTTCGCCCCAGGTAAAGGCTAAACCATAGCATGTATGTCATTGCTACCTCAGGCCATTGCGATGTTGCACTCGAGTGACATTACAGCGACCGCGATTGGACCAGGAGAAATGGATCAGGGAGCGTTAAGCAATGCTATGATCGCATGCTCTAAGGCTGACCGTTGGCAAGAAGGCTTGAATCTGCTGCAACTGTACGGTGTGAACACGGAGAGCAGGTATGATGCCGTCTCCATCGTTGCATTGAACTCTCTGATGGGGGCATGTGGGAGGAAAGGTCGACCCGATATTGCCATTGACGTACTCAATAGCATGGAGAGGCGTTATGGCGTAAAACCTGATGAGCATAGCTATCGCAGTGTTATCATTGGATGTAACCAAGCCGAGCACCAGCGGCGCCGGCAACCAAGAAAACCAGAGGTTCCCGGTACGCCGGAAATGACCGAAGAGCTTGAATTTGAGTGGTGGGAGTGCTGCCTTGCGTTACTGCGCCGAATGAAAGAAGATGGGCTGAAGCCTGATATTCAGACGCTGAGTTCCTGCATAAGTGCGTGCGAAGCTGCGGGACAGTGGCAGCGTGCTGTTGGTATTCTCCAGACCGTGATTGATAATGCAGATGAAGACGAAGAAGAGTTCCTGAACTTGTTCTGCTTCAACGCAGCCATTTCTTCCTGTGAGAAGGGAGGTAAGCAAGTTCGGTTTGAATCGACTCGCATTCGTGTGTGCATCAACACATCGTTGAAGTCGGGGTTTTCCAACAATGTACGTCTCTGCACTGTCCCTCTTCATTTGTCAAAGGTGCTTGGGTTGAGGCTTTGGAGATCTACGAGCGAATGGTGAGCTATGGAGGGCCGCTGCAACCAAACTTTGTCACGCTGAGTTCGCTGGTGTTGGCGCTTGCCAATGCGGGGCAAAAGGAGCTGGCACAGAGCAAATACAGGCAGGGTTTCAGGATGAATATTGTCAATCCGTGGCGTACCACGAAAGATTCCCAAGGCAAGCAGTTGAAGGCAATGGTACGATGTTGAGAGGCCTTCACTGTGCACCCGGAGATGGAAATGTCATTTCTCTAACTCCTTGCACGAACCCCTTGCTAAAGGACCTTCACCTGTTCAACCGTGCAATGGCTTGCAGCGCTATCAGGAGTCATCTGGACTCGCTCCTGGCTCGCGGGGATGAATCTCAAGTCACTGACAGTCTGGTAGTAATTGTGGGAAAAGGCCTACGAAGCCAAGAAGGAGTGAAGCTGCTCCCAGTCGTTGAAGAGCTTTTGAGCAAGGAGTACGGGATTGTTGGCAATCTCGATGGAAACAACAGCGGTCGTCTTGTTATTGACGCGGAAACCCTTCGAAGCCTCGTGGCCAGCAGAAGCTTCTTTGGTTCCTGAAAAGGTGAATTTGCAGGGATGCACCATTCCTGGCTACCTGTACCCGTACGAATGGCTACGCATCACGAGCACTGAGTACAGGGCCACAGTTGTTTACATGCAATTGGAAGCTAATGCATTAACCAGGCGCTTCAATAGCAAAAGAGGAGATCGCAGGGATGCACCCTTTCTGGTTCCTCATCATGATTACTGAGCAGCCCTGCATGAACCACGCGGCCATGCACGGAAGAGTCTACGAGCTAACCGAGGGAAACTATGGTTTGTAGGATGAATATCGCCAAATGAAGGGAAGTTGAAACATCCAGAGAGTACTTAGTTTGTGTTCAAGATACCGGTACCAGGTACGAGGGGAGCACAGCTCCAACCTCCTGCTAGGGTCCATTCGTTCCTTTGTCACTTGCTCTTTCTAGCTGTAGTTGTGCCTAGCTGTAGTTGTGCAACTTGCAGAAGCAGTTGCTGAATAGGGGTAATGTTCTTTACTCCCGAGATCACATCCCGCAGGAAATGGACATGGCAGCAACGACTTGTACGGCTTGATGCGGAGGATGGCGGTGTGGAAAGCGGAAAGGACGGTATATACGAGAGCTATCCGCGTATACGGAAAAGGCATGCAGCCTGTGAGCCGTTTGACTCGCGCGAATCATTCAATCGACTTGAACCACGACCGCACCATGTATGGTGCGTTTTTGCCACCTCAACCACCCAGACTGCATGGCTCCGTCGACGGTTTACACCAAGCCCAAGAATCAGTGTCTTGAGCTACCGGTAGCCAGCTGTATGCAGGCTATGGTATCGATACTGTGCTACTTGCTAATGCGGAGCGGAGGTTGAGAAAGAGAGAGATAGGTCATAAAATTAAAGCCCAAAAGCAAATCGAAAACAATCACAACAACAAAGCCAAGCAAGCCCATAGCACAATTACAACCATGGCCCCTCGTATTGAACAAGACCTTGAACAAGCCCAAAACAAAGAGCAAAACCAGCAGAGCCAGGTCAAGTCTCTGGAACCTTCCGGTTCCCCCGTAGTATTCAATGAAGACCTTGAAGTTCCCATGGGAGTATCCGTTAGCAAGACACAAGAAGACTCCAAGGAGAGCACCCGGAAGATCAGCAATGTTACAATCGGCGCCTTGATTATCTGCGTCCTGATTGCAATTGTGGTGGCTGTCTCCTTCGCTGTAACATTGTATAGATACGACGTGCAATTATCGGCTGAAGAGGACGAGCAACTCCTCAAGCCATTTGGATTTGGAGAGGATGATTTGATTGCCAATGACGACGCTCTCAATGGAACTGCATGGTTGGCGTGGGACAACAGTACCAACGCCGATGGGATATAGACAAAGCGGATTAGAGATGTATATAGAGTAAAAACACTGATTCAATGATTCTATTCCTCCATAAGGAATATGGCATATGCACAAATGAGACAAACAGTATTGTAATAAGTTGGATGTAGAGTAGCAAAATTTTTCTAAGGAAGCAAGAGGTGGAATTCGGGTCCGGGAGTTCTAGTATTGTAAGTGCTAACGCGTCACACTGGAGCTAGGATAAAGGTGTTGTGTGTGAAGCTACTAATGCATTATCCTGGTCATTCCTTAACTTTACTTCTTTCCCAAGTTTGGAATCTTGACCGGCAGTGGTCCGAATTGCGACCTCATTTGTTTGTATTCATCAAATGAAATCTTGTTGTCCTTGTTCTTGTCCACCATTCCAATCGCCTTGGTGATCATGGCTCGGGAGACGAGCGATCCAAATATTTTCTTAAAGTCGTTCACGTCCAAGTATCCATTGTTGTCGACATCCACGAGATCAAATTCGGCGCGCATTTCCTTGTCTGTCACTTTCGTTCCAGCAGCAGCAGCAGCAGTAGAGTTGGGTATGGGCCGTTGGGTCGATTCGCCATGCTCGGCCGCTCGTTCACTGGTTCCGGGAGGGGCCGATGCAGATGCCCATGCCGGTGGCCGAGTGGATGTTGTCGTCGTCGGTTGTGTGTAAGAAGCATGCACGGACGATTGTGCGGCTGGGCTGGGAACATAGGCGGCTTGAGCCGCTGGGCTGGGAACATAGGATGATTGAGCGCCTTGGCTGGGAACATAGGCGTTGGGTACATAGACTCCACCGTCGCCGCCGTTGCCAGTGTTCGAAGCTTGGGCTGCCTGTTGATTGTTGTTGTCCTGGCCTGGAACATAGACGCCTGGAACATAGACTCCTTCATTAGTGGACATAGTGAGATATCTGTTGGGCGAGTGAGTGTTTTGGGGGTTGAGAGGTTGGTTGCTCGTTTCACGACTTCTTGTCGCAAGCTTTTTATGAGGGGACACGAGCACTTCGCCCCAGCCATGGCACCATCCCGGAAGCTCCCCTTCGCCAAATCGGAATGCAATTCTCGGGAATTCTCGGGAATGGAATCAGTACCGCAAGACTCACCCACGACACAACAATCCACGCCACGGTCGAACACGTGGGCTCACACGCGCGGATTCACATGTTTTCCTGTGTTGCATCGTTGCTGCAACTGGGAACTCTTGAACCTCATGGCTAGCTAGCCTAGTACGCTAGTAGTGGACTCTCACTTGTTGGTAAAAGGCGTGGAAGAGCCATTGGTGTGTTTGTCAAGTGGAAGAAGACAAGCAAACAGCTGCAGCAAAAATGCCCAAGCAAAAGCTCTATTCGATTCCCAGCTAGATACGAGTCGAGTCGATTCGAGTCGATTGGCCAAGATGATGACGGCCTCCAAAGGGAGAGTCTCCTCGGGTGGCATGACAATGTGGAGTTTGCATCAATCTGTGGTGTGAGCTGTAGCTGTTTGGCGCAAGCCAAAGAGCCATCATTGCCAACTGATCTATGCTGACTCTTTTGACCTTTTCACCAAAAATGGCAATGACATCTACCTCGTAGACAGCTGGTATCATTCCAGGCCGTGGTCTTGTTTTGCGCAACCCTGTGTTGAGTGAGGCAGAGAAATAAGATCCAGATGTATGTCTTCTTGGGATCGATTAAGCTGATTTTGAAGGCAAAACCCGGAAAGGTTATCCACAGATATGTGCATTCCCAAGAATCGCGGAGCAAGCGTGTTGCCTCCTCAACGTGGTCCTCTCTTTGTAGGCAATGGATGTACATGTAGGAAACACCCGTGTATCAATTTGCAGGACAGATTGTGTTTGGCTCCCTTCTGTGGACTCCAGTTGGAGTTAGCTACTAGCTAGCTAGGCTCTAAAGTTCTGAATATCAGAAGTTTTGGAGAAACTGGAAAGAGGATTTCCCGGGGTCCAATCTGTGTGATGCAATAACACCATGCATGACTACGGTACCTAGCTGGGGCAGAGCAGCAGCAGCGCCGATGGAAGCTTGAACCTGATCTTTGGTTGGCATTAAATTTTCATCAACAGACAGATGCACAAGTGCGGCAATCGACTGCAAACAGGCAAAAACTGCTTGGCTCCAACTGAGCTGTTGAGTTGTTGGTCATCGGAGACATTCAGTACAGCAATCAACTGCAAACAGGCAAAAACTGCTTGGCTCCAACTAAGCTGTTGAGGTTTTGGTCATCGGAGACATTCAGTGCTCCACCTTGGGGGTCACCAGTCACCAGCATTGTCCATTAAATCCAACCAATTTCCTTATAAGTCTCAGAAGCACTTGAGTTTGGATCCAATAAATAAGTCAGCGGGAGCTGCGATACCTCGGCAGAAAGACAAATAGAAGAAAGAGGATCGTGTTTGAGATTGCATCCTTCTTTCAAGGTAGCCTTCCCTCATTATACCTTCTTTTTTATGTAAGCTAGCCCTGGCGACAACACCCGACTTCGTCGTGTGTTGCAGCCCACTATCATTCCCTCATTGTAACCTTCTGTTTTATATTAAGCTAGCATTGGCGTAGCCACGGGCTAACCCATAATTACAGCTATCATTCGATTGTGTAACTCTAAATTTACAACACCTGCTGGCTTATTGTGTTTTTGTCCTGAGTGCACTAACCTTAAATTACATTGATATATTCCTACCCCTAATTTTTATTGAACCTTCAATTTCCAGTTTTGCCAGCTTACATTATCTCTATCCTTATCCTGGCTTCACCGGAATAGGGGATCCCACAGACACAAAACGAGGGATCCCACAGACAAAAACCAGGGGGATCCCACAGACAGAATATTGCCAATTAAGTCAGCGGAAGCTGCGATACCTCGGCAGAAAGACAGATGAAGAAGGAGGATCATGTTCGAGATTGCACCCATCTTTCAGCCAGCCCTGGCGACAACACCCGACTACGTCGTGTGTTGCCCCCGGTATCATTCATTCCCTCATTGCAACCTTCTTTATTAGCTAGCCCTGGCGACAACACCCGACTACGTCGTGTGTTGCCGCCGCTACTCTATAATTTACCAGCTGCCATTCCCTTATTGTAACTCTAACTTTACAGCTCCTGCTGGCTTATTGTGCTGTTTGTGCTGATTGCACTAACCTTAAATATTAATGATTTATTCCTACCCCTAACTTATATTGAATCATCAATGTTCAGTTTTGTTGGCTTATGACTATCTCTATCCTTATACTTTGGCTTCACCGGAATAGGAAATAGGAAATAGGAAATAGGAAATAGAAAATAGGAAATAGGAAATAGGAAATAGCATTAAAGGGGTTGAGAACTCAGGCAGTTTACCTGCCGAGGTAAAGGGGTAGAGGACTCAGGCAGTTAACCTGCCGAGGTGATGTTGTTTCCTTTTGTTCTTTCGCAAGAGATGCAACCGTAAAGACTGCTCGGCTGCAAGAAAGTTGCAGCTCGCATCAGGCTCTGCTTCCACTTGCTGCGAGAGACTGACAGCAGAGAGCTCATAATGTGAGCAACAAGCTCCTTCTCCCGATCCTGCAACAAAGATGAAGAAGATGCGCGCTTTGGCTTGTTGGCTCTGCTTCTTGGTGGCATTTCGAGTACGCCCCGCAGAGGGCTCTTGTACAACCAAAAAGTACTGTGAGCAAATTGCGTTCGTCCAGGAATGTAAAGAAGCCTACTCTTGTTCCTATAACGTCAGAAATGGACAACTTACCAGCTGCAAGAATGGTGGCGATTGTCGAAAGCTGGGAAAAGACAAGTGTCAAGAATACGTGAACTGCCAGTGGAAGGACGACGAACCGGTAGTGCACGATGGCTTTTGCTCTACCCAAAAGTACTGCGATGAGATTGGGGTGATCCAGGGATGCAAAGAAGCCTACTCTTGTTCCTATAACGTTAGAAATGGACAACTTACCAGCTGCAAGAATGGCGGCGATTGTCGAAAGTTGGGAAAAGACAAATGTCAAGAATATGTGAACTGCCGATGGAATGAAGCGACTGGGCCCAGTGAAACTGAGGAAGGGGGAGGTGATGGCAATGATGGTGGGATTAACGTTGATGCTGCTGCTAATGCAGAGGATCCAGATGGAGGCACGTTGGGACTTAGTCCTGAGATGGTAATTGTCATTGTTGTGGGTGCGGTTGCTGCCATTATTCTGGTGGCATTCGTATATGTACACCGACACCGATTCTCCGGTGCAATGCAATCATTTTCCAATCTGACAAAGAAATAAGTTCGATTGTAAGTCCCCAAGTAATCAAGAGGGTATAATCTATCTAATGTACCAGGAACCCGTAATGGTTGAATCTCGCCGTACGGTACGGTAGGACGGTGGGGACCAAGAGTTTTGGCGGTATAAATTCCCTCGGTTTGATCTTCCTACGGTACTAGTACATGACGGTCAGTAGATGGATGCTGCAGCCAACATGTGGCAACAAAAGCAAGTGATTATGACAGTTAAACTCCTTCTCAAAGAATGGTCTCTACGGATGGTACCGGTAGATGCTATAGATAGACTATACTAGAAGCTATCGGTGGAAGAGGTGTCCCTTTGCTTCACATCGCGTCGTTTGGATCAGAGAAAAATGTCAGACCCGCCCAAAAATACTTTGACCAGCCTTATCGCAGTTTGCTCAATCAGCTCTTTGATCCAAATTGCCATCTCGAGTTGAGATCACAAGCACATCCCATAACCTGGACGTTTCAACGTTTGTTCTTGCTCTTCATTCTATCCTGTAGGAGGGGATACTTTATAGAAACTTGTAACTGCTCAGAGACAATACAAGCAGTCACAAGCAATCCAACCGAGGAACCAAGCCCTCCAGAGCAAAGATCGTCCACCGGAACAATGTTAACCAAGCATTCCAGAATACCGAGGACGGAAAGCAATCATTTATTGGTAATATTTAAAAGTAAAATCATTGGCTAACTGGCACAAGCAAACCATCACGGCTCGGTGTGTTTCATGGAAGACTCTAGCGGCTTCCTGTGGATGACGCATTGCCTCACCGTCATCCTACGCAGTGTATGCCAACTCGGTGTCTTCAGTTCCACAGTTCTGTGGATTTTTCAAATTCCTTTCCTCCCCATTCGATCTGGGTGGCACTAACTGCATTGGGCGAGTCTCTTTGCTTGAATCCTCCAGATATGTGTTGGCCAAACAGAAGCTTCCCTCATGTAGTACTCCAGCAACAGTTGTTGGTCCCACATAGACACCATCATAGACCCAGGAATGCCCATTAATTAGGCAGGAATCAATGATGGTCTTGTCCTTGATTGTCACCAATGGCAAGTCATACATACGATGGCCAAAGAACAATGCACGGCCCTCAACATTACAGCCGATTCCTCAGAGGAACCAGTTGAAAAAGTGTGTACCAAAGAAGATGGGAAGAAGGGATAAGTCCCAGAGGTAGCACTGCAAGTTCATGTAAATGGCAAACATAGCAATGGACCAGTGCTTGGTTTGCCCTTCTTTCCTACCCAAAAAGCTTTGACTTGGAAACATCAACCACTGAAGGAACACAAGGAGGAGGACCCAAGTGAAACAAAATACAACAAGTGCCAGAGCCAATTTGACTATGGGAAATCCAGACAAGGGTGTGAAGAAGTCCACTTGGAAGAACTCATAAGTTGGGATGAGGGAGAAGAAGAGCACTGTTGCAATCGAAGGTGTGGCAAGGTCAACCACCAATCTTTTTGATAGTGGCAATCTTGTTCCCTTTGAACTCAAACTACCTTGGATGTTGGCTGTCACATGTGTCAATGGGTTGACCTGGGCAGAGTCAATGGTTACACCACCATCAATAGTGACACTGTGCCCAATGCTGGTGTTTTCAATATGAATCTTTTTGTACTCTCCATCTTGTTTGACATCAAAATGTGATAAAGACAGAGTTGACTTCTTGAGACACATCAAATCCACCTTGGAGGGAGGGAAGTGTACACCCCACACCTTAGTTTCCATGTCAATATCCAAGCCCAGTAACCACAAAAAGCCATTGATTATGACTGCATTTTCTGCCACAAGGTCCAGAAGAACCAGGCTGACAAAGAAATGATAGTCAACCACCCAGTCAAGTGATTCTTGGACGATAGAAGTTTTGGTTACTGGACCTGGTTTTCGGTGTCCAATCAGAATCCATTTCATGGGAATACAAACCAGTAAGTTTCCAATACCTGTGAGGACAATAATGAGGAATGCCTTCAACAGGGTAGCATATCGCCACTCCATGCCAAAGCTACCAGTTGTTATGGCCCTCCCAGCAGACCCAGCAATGGCAAAGGTCAAGCAGAGTTCCATGAGGGGCCAAACACATTTGATAATTCTCAACACAGCCATACTCTTCTTTTCATGATCTGAGTGCTCTTTTGCTTTTGTCATTCCACTCTGGTGAGCAGGACTTCCTGTTGCAATGGCAGAAGTTGGGACCTGGGAATCCTCAGGGACTGCAGCTAGGTTCTCCACTTTGCTGCCATCTCCCAGAACCACACCAGGACCTACTTGTCCTTTAACCACACAGCCATTCCCAATTCTGATTGGTCTGAACCTCAATGTAGGAGACCCAGCATCCCGCCCAGACTCCTGCCAGGGACCAAACTTTCTACATTTGATTCCAAAACTGATTTCAGCATTTTCACCAATCTCCAAGAGATCAAACTCTCGGAGGAAGCAATCCAACTTGGAAGAAGAGTGGACCTTGCAGCCCATCATTGAATAGAACAGCCATTGCCATGGAGTGCCCATGGCATACCTGCCGATCAACATCTCCCACAAGTGCACTGCCCTGTCAACAAACCACCATCTGACATAGTATAGGGATGCAACTGGAACCTCTTTGGAAGAGTACTTGCCAATGATAATCCACTTTGATAGGCAAACCAAGAGGGTGAAGGTAATGTGCCAAAGCAAGAAGACTAGCGGCAGTAATATCCCCAGAGAAGGTGGTGCTCCATCATAGATGATGAGCTGGTAGCACTTGTAGGAAGGGAATGTGCTTACAGATAGCATCAAAAAGAGCACAATGATACCAACCCCTTGCAACAGAGTGACTACAGACCAGGGATGTCTTGTAGCTGAGGTGTCAAAGCTTGGTACTTCAATGGGGAAGAATGATCCATGATTTGGGCTGAGGATATACTCTTTGAGTGCAGCCGGGGTTGGATATTGGTCAGGAATTTCACTGGGGACGGTGGCTGGAAAGGATTCGGCTAGCTTGTTGTTGAGCTCAATCAAGATGAGGGAAGTGAGGCCATTTTCATCCCACCCAGAATCTGGATCATAGTCAGCTCCCAAGAGCGAAGTCATGATGGCATCAAACTTCTCTGAAGGAGGCAGGTCCTGGGCTAGCTCTCGGGGGCCACCGCTGGTTGCTGCTATCTCCAACATGGATGACTGATCCAGGACAAACACAGCTTTGTGTTGATTTGCATGGAGCAGGTCTCTGTTTCTCCTTCTCTGGATTTTGCCACTGGTTGTCTTGGCTATGCTTCTTTCTTCCAATGCCACAATCTTGGAAGGAACAATACCAATGTCCTGAATGATGACAGATTTGATTGCCTCACACACAGCCTGTGCAGTCATCTTGTTTGCATTCCTAATCTCAAAGACAACTTCAAGCTGGCCATCACCTTCACCAGAGTCATCAGAAGAGAAGGCTGCCACACATCCTGGCCTGACACCGTTGCAGGATTGAACAGCAAGCTCAATATCTTGGGGATAGTAGTTGACCCCGTTGATAATGAGCAAGTCTTTGATCCTGCCACAAACATACAAGTACCCATCTTGCATAAAGCCCAGGTCCCCTGTTCGAAGGAAGGTGGTGGTGCTATCATCCTGATTTGTGACAGAATCTTCTTGAGGGGGCAGCTTGGCTTGGAAGACCTCACTGGACAGTTCTGGCTTTCCATGGTATCCAGCAGCAACAGAAGGACCAGCAATCCAAATCTCACCCGTATGGTCAGCCGGAAGTTCATGTTGGCTGGCAGGGTCAACAATTGTGATGTTCACACAGGGATGGAAAGTTTCGTTGGAGCCAACAGCAACAAAACTCTTTGTGTCCTCTGGCCGTTGGGTGGATAGCCGGTGTTCATTCAACCAGGACACAGTGACAACATGTTCTGCCAAGCCATATCCACTGCAGAACCATCTGTTTCTAAGTCCAAACTGCGAGAATGTAGAGCTGAACTCTTTGTGGGTGTCCAGTCTGATTGGCTCAGCCCCATTTTGCAGATACTGGATGGATGACAAGTCAAAGTTGGCAATAGGACATTTTCCACCTGCCTTTGACATCTCCTCCTTGAACTTTCTGGCTACCAAATGGTAGGCAAAGTCAGGGGCCACCCCCAATGTGACTTTATACTTTGACATGAGGTCCAACCAGTGCAAGGGTTTCTTGATGAATGTGAGGGGGGACATCATGTGCATTCTCCACCCTTCAGTAAAAGGAACTATGGAGGCAAAGATCAACCCAAAGTCATGGTACTGTTGGTAGCGAAAGAGAAGGAAACGTCATGTATGTGAGCTGACCAAGTCATTGATATCAGTGGGGAATAAAGAGAGGAGGCATACCTGTGGTAGCCAAGAGAAGCCAACAATCTTGTCTGCATCAAATGCATCTTCTGTGAGCTTCTGGCTAATGCCATCATGGTTAATCTTAACATTGGCTTCCAATGCCTTACTATGAAATCATGAAAAATCTTATCTATTCGGTGAGAGAGGAGGCAATTCTTGTAGTATATATACTTGTATATTTTACCACATTTATCACTCCCCCATTGCCGAACGCTATTACAGCACTTGAGATAAGCCAGCACTAATTACACGTAGCTGGTGTGTATGCAGGTAATGTCTTACGCTTTAGCGCTGCCTGTATTCAAGCGCTAGCCTTCGGGTGTCACGGAAGGATCTTCTTGTTCTCGTACGTCAGTAGATACTGACGTCAGTGTAGGTACGTGTTCTCCATTCTCACTGACTCGCTTCCCCAGGAACCTCGAAGAACTCCTGAGGGTAGGGAGTGTTCGCATTGGTCGTGCAAACTGACTAGTCGCTTATTCAGCGATCCTACTGTATTTCTATAGTTGGACGAAGCTAGTGTTTCCAGGGAATCACGAGCGATATTAACGGTACGGGTGATGAACACGGTACTGGTATGAGGTAGTACGTCGTGTTCTTCGGGGAACTGACTGTCGAGTACGAGTAACGAAGTCTTTCTGAAGGACTTAGACGTCGTGCACTAGTGTAACCTTGCCTGGACTAAGTCACGAATGGGGAGTTTCACGGTGAACTCCCCCATAGTCTTTTTGTGTAGTTGCTAGTGGACGTCATTACTTATTTACGAGTGAGACTTGCCAATCCCACCGGTTTGAGGTGAACTTCTCCCCCAAAGTCTTAACGAGTGATGGTACGATTGTCACGGGGAATGTAAGACCTTAACTCCCCCGGAACTGGTGCATGCTTGCGGATATATGTGTCGTGCCTCTCTAGCCCTGCAAGGGTAGTGTGTACTTAACTGCAGACTTGTAGAATGCATGAGAAGACTTATAGGCGCTACTAACTAGTGCATACTGACTAAGGCGCTTTCCGACATGGAGTTATTATCGTGGGAGCAGGAACGATTCGGAACACAAGGGACACCATCAAGAATCGAACTACAAGCCCACAAACCCTAACTCCCAGGGGACCGTAGCTAGAACTACTATGTACCCTGACTTGGCCCGTGCAGGATAGTGGAATCTACTGCAGGGGTACGAGGTAAGTCACTGGGTCTACGAAGGTAGGGCGTACTGTTAATCCTATGAAATCATGAAAAATCTTATCTATTCGGTGAGAGAGGAGGCAATTCTTGTAGTATATATACTTGTATATTTTACCACATTTATCACCTTAAAGGTCACCATAACTCCCTTTGGATCACCAGTGCTTCCCCTTCAATAATTATGGAGACTTCTCTGTCAGTTGCTGCCCAGCATGAGAATGATAGAAGAGTCATAACTCGATGAAGGTACTTACGATGTATATTGGTAGAATGCAATATCTGACTCAAGAATGTCTTCCTGATCAAAGGTTGCCAATTTTCTCGTCATGTACATTGATCTGCCATTGGTAACCTTGAAGGGCATCCGCTTGGGCCACATTCCCTTGCTTTTTGAGATTGGCTTTAGTTCATCCACTTTCTTCATTGCCATGATTGTCATGTCCGTCAAGATCAACACAGGTTGGCAATCTTTGATGACTTTTTCCATCTTTGGGAGTGTTTTGGTGAGAGGTGGGAATGGAGGATAAACCAAAATGGCCACAACCCCAGCCCTCAAGCAACCAAGGAAGGCAGCAAAAAAGTGTAGCCCAAAGCCATAGCACAAGACCACCTTGTCTCCTTTCTTAACTCCCCATTTATGGTGTAGGTTGTAGGCAATTGCTCCGGCTTCTGCCCAAAGCCCTCCAAAGGTGTATTTCTGGCCAATGGTTCCATTGGCCTCATGCCAAGTGGCAAAGGGGTCGTTTTGTTTGTCAACAGCAACACTATTGAGTTTGTGGATCAAAGTTGTCTTTTTCGGAGACTCTTCTGCTGATTTGACGAGTGCCATACTTGTTGTCAGCTCCTGCTTGGAATTCTCGTCTCTAGCTGTACGGTCTTTGTTGTTTTCGACTACAAGAATTGTGTGCTGGTGGATGAGAAATTGCTACTGCAGGGGAGCCTGTGCTGAATTTTCGAAACGATTTGGGCTTCGCTTCCGAAGAAGTAAGTGGTACATGTATCGCTTTTCGCTTCCTCCAAGTCGAAATCCTGCATGCTGCGATTGTTAGAGGGGAAGCGCGTATACGAAAACCCTACGAGCTAGCAGCTAGAGAATGCGTGATTTCTGACAACCTTTTCTGCCTGACAACCTTATTAATAATACCCTACGAGCTACTAGTACCGGTACAGTAGCTAGAGAATGCGTGATTTCTGACAATAGACTATTTGGCCTTGGCTTTTAAATACTAGCTAGTACAGTAGTCACTCTGCAACCATCGAGGACAAACAACGGACGAATTACTGACGTCTAATTCTGTACCGCGATTATTTTGGCTTCGCTTCCGAAGAAGTGTACACTAATCTCTATAGTATTACTACAGTAAGACCTTTAAACCTACGGTAGCTGGCTAACTCATACCAGTACAACGCAGTGGTACCGGTATCGGTACCGGTACTAGTACTAGCTAGCTACTGGTAGCTACTAGTAGTAAACTTGATCTCCAGCGAGAACTGTACTATTAATTAAAATGGTATCGCTTTTCGCTTCCTCGAGCTCCAAATCGACATCCTGCATGTCTTTATTAAAACGCGATGATTGGACATTATTATTGTAAATACATGTACATGTACACATGTACTGTACAGTTTGGTGCTAAATCTTTAAGTCTCGGACATAAGCCCCATGCTCAAATGGTCAGACATGGATGTTTCTGTGGACTTACTGTACTAGTACTAGCTTCGCCCCCCTCGCTCCTTAAAACGTATCTATTTAGTATTTGTTTTTTCTCTAGCTATTTTAATATTTTAATACTGTAGTAATCGTGAATGCTTAAAGCTTAAAGCCTTTTTCAACAATGTCATGTCAATAATCTTAGACTAGTAATAATTACAGTAAGGTCTTGTGATTGCTTGCAACTTCAACTTGCAAGTACATTGGAGGAGCTTTGGAGGTCAACCCAATCGGAGCTGCTATCGGAGCCCAAACCAGGAACCCTGCAGTTTGTTCTACTAGTAGTAGTACATGTAGAAAGGAGAAATAAATCGTCGGGTGAAGCGATTGAGGGAGCTACCAATACCGTACAGTACTGTGGCCAGAAGGAAACAAGATGGCGGGTGGCAATAGTGCTGCATCCACGTCTGAACAAGGCGACGCCAAAGATCACATCGAGTCCTCTACAGGGAAAACTCCCGTCGATGCTCCTGAGCATGCAACTAAGGAGGATGGAGATAATGAGAAAGACAGAACTGATCCCTCGTCATCCATAAAAGCTGATCCATCATCATCCAAAGACCTCTGTTCCCCGGACGGCTTTAGGTTTCCACTAGGCCAAGTGATTGTCACTACAGCCAGTCTACAGAATTTTGCCTTGGGGTCACTGGACTCGTCTTCTATAGATGGATCTCCATTACTGCAGATTCTCCAGCAAGACATGGAACCCGTATGGCAACATCACGACCTTGTCGTTTCCAAATGTGAAAAAGTTCCTAAATCCAGACGCAAAAAGACGGATTCGATGAGGCTTCAGTGGAAAGAAGGAGTCGACATGGACCAGATCCAATCTTTGCAAAACGACATTCGTTCTGCCCTTCAAAGCAGACTCCCAGAACGAGCTCTGACGATCGAACTGGTCCCCGAAATCTATCAAATACGGTCACAGCCGGCCATCCAAGCGCATAGGCTGGTGGTCGATACGGATGTCATTTCCCACTTTTTACGCAAAAGTCAACCCTCCAGCCCCACCCCACGCTGGAAAAAGCAGCAGGCCGTCTGTCACTGGCTCCTACACGAATACACGGGACGCAAGTTGGTGTCCTGGCAAACCAAGGCGGAGCTTTACGCTTGGATTACCTTGCGGTGTTTTCCTGAGGAACGTATCCAGCAATTGGAAACACTGTTGAACGATCATGACTTTGAAGTCATGGATCGACCCGATTCCTTAACGTGTCTGCTGTGGGCTCAATTGATCAATCACGGACGCATCACTGGAAAGCCGGGTGGGGCACAGGATGTGTGGGTTGCCGCCACGGCTCTGAGAATGGGGGCATCCGTCTGCACCTTCAATGTCAAGGATTATGAGTATTTGTTTGGGGTGAAAATTGTTGACAAGGTGTTGGAAGACGACGACGAGGAGGAGGAGAATGAAGAAAGTGTCACGGAGAGTGTTGGCAAGACCGGTGACGTTGGCGGAGCGTCCCCTGGGTCGGGGGACGCACAAACCAAAAAAGACAAGGATGCTGCTGAGCATGAAACGCAAGCTGTCACAGATATACTAATTGAGCCGAGGAAAGAAGAGAAGAATCCACTCTTCATCCAGCAGCGTCTGAGAGATCAGGATTTTGGAACTCTCCGTTACAGCGAATACACTACCACTGATTGCTTTCAAAGTGTGGCAAAAACAATAGACATTCGACAATCTACCATACATCCAGAACTCTTTCTATTCAATACCAAACATCGAGACCGGGGTGCCTCAGAGCTGGAGTCGCAATGCCGGGGGCTCATTCTGGATGCCAGTCAAATGTGGAATATAGTCTGCTATCCCCTGGAACAGTTTTTCAACCCTGGAGAAGCTTCTGGGCATCAGGCGCTGAAGGATTTTGATTGGCCCAGCTGCCAAGTGTTTCCCAAAGAGGATGGATCACTCGTCAATCTGTACTTTCACAAAGGGTCTTGGCATGTCAGCACCCGAGGGCGACCCGATGGAGACAGCCTTTTCGTGGAGAACTTGACTGTGTCGGATGAAACACAATACACATTTCGCCATTTGTTTTGGAAAACGTTTCACAAACTCGAGTACAAGGAACCGCAAAGGGACTACAATGGGCTATGCTTTTCCTTTGAGCTTGTCACCCCGGACAATCGAGTGGTGGTGCCCGTCATGACGGAGCGGTTGGTGCTCTTGACAGCACGAAATTGCACAACGCATCAAGAACTAACTCATGCACAAGTCAATGAAGTTGCTCAAAGGCACAACTGGCTGGCAATCCAACCAGTCAACAAGCCTGAAGATGGGAGTGCTCACTGGACACTTGTTGTAGTCCAGGACATGGCCAGCAAGCTTTCTTGCACCAGAGGGGAAGGGTTTGTGTGCTGCGATAAGGACTTTCGGAGACTCAAGGTCAAAAGCAGGAGCTATGTCGCGGCAAGTAACATGCCTCGACCAAACTGGGGATTGCCCACCGATTCTGCAAGTGCCAAGAAAGCTGTACAAGAGCTTCTACAGAATCCCAAATACAAGCAACGACATCAAGTCCACGTACTCAAGTTGGTGCAGAACGGAGAGGACAAGGAATTTGAGGTGTACTTCCCCGAGTGGGGGGCAGAATTTCGAAGGATGGCATCCAGGGTCAAGATCTTGGCAAACAAACTGGAGACTGCGTTGTCACAAAAGGAGCCGCAGGATGAGCAGTCGTCCAAGTCTCTATCCCAGTTACGAGAGTATATAAAGAAGACCTCCCTTAATGATAGGCAAGGAGAAGCATCGCCGTCAATCCTGACGTTCCTGGAGCAACAAAAGCCCACGCATGTGCTACAGATGTTTGAGGATTGGGAAGTCCCAGACGGGTTCTCGGGAACGGAAACAACACAACAGCAGGGTCGGTCGACCTTTGTTGAACGCTTGCTGTTGCTTATAATAGCATGGGCGAGTCAGTTCTGGGTGGTTTTAGGCCAGTTGAAGCCAGTCACGCAGTCGCTAGTCAATGCAAAGATTGCCAAACAGCGCAGCAGGTTTGAAGTAGACCAAGAACTCGCACTGCTGAACAAAGAACAATTTGGGGGCTTCTACAATGCCGAAGCACTGGGGCAAATAATGGTGTTGGAAGAGTTCCTTCGGTTGCTTTACCAGGACCAAGTCAACCGCGAGTTGCTGGTGCTGCTGGGCTCCATTCTTACACGACAATTCATAATGCCCGTAAATCGGAGTTCCTCCGATTTGGACTTCATGGCCCGCTTTCCTTGGAATTCGGATAACCCTGTGGACAGTGTTGTCAGTCGGCTACGGAGTGTCGTGGCCCGGTCCGAAACGTCAACGAGCCTGGTCAGGTTCGACCTTTCGCAACCAATCGAGGGATTCGTTCATTGGGAGGACACTGATCAGCCAGGGGTCAAGTGTACCCTCAAGAACTGTACAGTGTTCGGGGGGTGGTCTTGCGACATCTCGATTGATGTTGCTTTCGGGGATCCTATGATGCCAATGCCATTCTGGCTGGATTACAGACCTCTCCCGCCCATTTTCGACGAGAACCATGGCCAAGATGCGATACGGACACTCGCAATTCGTCCTGAGTTGTTGTTTGCATGGAAGCTGCATGGTCTCTTCGAACACAACACAGTTGATGAGCTCGGGCGTGATGTACAAGGGAGGTGGAGAGCGAAGGACCTCTTCGACTTGTGGCTCATGACAAAATTCATGCGAGCTGAGCTCAACTTTGACGTCAGCAAGCTTCCTATTTCCATTGATGTTGCGTTTGCAGCCCGACAGCAGAGCTCAGCTCGTCTATTGACAAAGCTATTGGAAAGGCGCTTTGGCGCAAGCAGGTCTTCTCAACGATTGTGGAGAAGCTTTCGGAAGAAGTACCCAAATCCGGATGAAATCCCAGTGCAGCTTCATCAGGTTGTCGGAGATGTTGCCGACTTCCTTTCACCGCTTCTCCACGCTGAAGGACTCACAAGACTCTTGAGTGCCCCGGCTGATTCGACTGATAACAACAGCATTCATCATAAGCCCGTGATCAAAAACAATGACAGTCGCCTCAAGGCGATCAAAAAGCGTGACGAAGGATCCATGGTTGTTCCACTACCGGGACTCTACAATGTTTTCAGGACGAATCAGAGAGTCGACTTTCATGCCGGTGACGACGGGACAAGGGAAGATTCAATCAAAATCATTGAAGTTCTTGATAGTATTTTTGGGACAAGTGCTTCGGGCACCAAGGACCGAAAAGTTCATGAATCTCACCTGTCTACAGTGAGGTTCCTTGGTAGAGAAGAGGAGTTCGAAGTCGTCATGATTGCTCCGCCTAAAACAACCAACAAACTGTTACCCGAGGGCAGAGGCAAGATTGAAGTGGTGATACCAGGATACCTCCAGCTTAGGCAATGCCCAGGTTTCACCGCACGAGCTTGCGCTGGGCAAGCTATTGTCAGGCGGGATCGTGTTGGTGACAGCCACACAAACGCTACCGGTGCTTCATCTGGCACTCCTTTCAACGAGACAACTCCCACCACTCAACCCATTCTTCAACTGAATGACGACGACAAGGCCGTGGTCCAAAAACTCAGAGAAAGCGAACTGTTGCACGGACAAGCCTTGGCTCGTCGCTTACAAGCCATTCAACCCATGACCAACATCGCGTACGTGACGTCCTCGTCAGAGAAGTTCTATGAGGCAGTGAGGTGTCTGGCAGAGTACCAGCAGCATATCACTCATGTTCCTGATATCAAGCCGCCCTTTACAAGTCGAATCGATCCGGAAAAGCTCGTCGAACGCATGGCTCGGTATTGCTATTCCATTCTTGGATATCCATGCTTTTGCGACATTACTTGGTTGGAAATCGAAGGGCCCTCAGGCGTTACTCGATTCTTTCCCCAAGGAGACGACAACGAGTCCTCTCTCATTTGCGCCACTGACTTTGCCACTGATGAGTTTGTTGACAGTATTGGACGGCCCACCAGCTTCGACCTCGAAAGTCATATGGGGAAACAAGCGAGCATCTGTGCACTGGTTGCATTCTGTTCGCCTCCCATCAGTTCCAAGAGCTCTGGTGGCGGAGAGCCGATTGTTCGAGTGTATGACGGGAACTTGGATGGGAGCATAATTATTGGGGACGACAAGGAACGTTTGGCCTTGCCTTCTGTCGCTCTCCGAGAAAGGCAACGATCAACCGTGGAAACCAAATTTTGGAATAAGATTTTCATACCCCAAGGATACAAGGCACCAATCAGCCACCTCGGAAACTCTGCTTTTTGCCTCGGCGCTCGCCACCTGCCGTTCCTTGAGCTTGCGCAGAACTTGCGTAATCATGATGCTGGTTCTGTATTTGAAGTGCACGTGACGGTGGAGACACCGGAGAGCGAAGGCGACGGCGACATCGACCCTGTGGACTCGTTCGCGAAAGTGTGCGAGGAGGTTGGAAATGAGATTGACAAATGGTACAGGCAGGCATTGGGGAAGGAGGATCAGTGGTCCAAGCGCACAACGCTCAAGCCAGTGCTCATAGAAAACTCCAGTGGCGAAACTCCCAACCAAATGATGACTGCGTCTCACCACGCGGGAACGCTGGAAGAAGGTGAGCTTTATCCGTAGGCCATGCTGTGGATGATTGTTGAAGGCGCTGTTCTGTCTGACTTACTGCATCATTGGGCTATTTGCCGTTCAGTTCACGTAACTGCATTCCGCATATCTCAGGAACTGGCCAAACAAGGCTACACCATACTGCGTACCAAGATTGAAGCTCTGATGAGCGGCAAGGGAATTCCCCTTAGCGACTCTGAAGCGCAGCTCTTGTCCCCCGAGAACTATTTTGAGTTCCACATCAAGCTTCGACTACCACCCGACTGCGACAACGACCTGCTGAACGAGATTGTAAAGCAACACAACGCCCGTATGTCTCGCAATCCCATGCAAAGTCTCCCCAATGGTTGGCAGAAGCGGTTTGTCAATATCCGCATGTACTCCGTTGGGAAAGAGACTGCCGTTGCTCGTCTGGATGACTGCATTGCAGCCTTGCGATCCAATGGATTTGCCATTGATCGAGTTATTCGAGAGTACTCGGTGTACGATTCCAATGTTTCCTTGGACAAGGGTTGGATCGACAAGCACAATGTCTCAGTTGAACAAGTCCAACAGCAATAGGGGTCTTTCGTGTGGCCTGGCGTAGGCCGAGATCTCAGGCACGACCCTAGACTGCAAACACCAGCAAGGGTGATATCGGTATCCAAAGATGTCTCTCAAGCTATTGCTACTAGAGCATCAGCAAGTGAACAGGTAAAGTTGTACAGAGAGCTGGTGCCCCTCCCTGTTGTGCTAGAATTGGATTGGGGCCCAACAGAACTGCTGTATCCCAACCACTGCACCTAGCACAATGGATTTGCTGCAAACTGGTGATCAGAACAAGTCTGAGCGGTCTGTGAAGTACAATGTGCTGATTTCTCGCCGGCTGACTATCGCTGTTGCTTCTTCATTACAGGATCACCTTTCCTTCCAAATAGTAAAAGTTAAGGCATCATGACGTTCCTACTAGCTAGTGGCTTTGCTATGCACACAATTACTCCATCCAAATCATTTTCGTTTTTGTCGCGTTATCCGTTGTTCGTTTGCCACACAATCGCAGACACTCTAGTCCTATTTTCCCGTTCTGTTACTGGCCCAGAATCTGGGCCCCCAAGTTGACACGCTCGGCAAGACTGGGTCCGCTGACACCACCATCAGCACGCAATCCATGATCGGCCTCAACAACAGCCGCAGCTTCCGCTCCCATGGCAACTCGTTCGGCCAATGTCAATCCGCCCACCCCACCATCACTGCGAAGTCCATGATCGGCCTCTTCTACTTTGGTGGCCATTTCCGCTGGCGACTCCATGGGCTGTTCAGGTGCCGGTTCGAGTTGTGTCACGGGAGGTGCTGGAACCGGGGGCTGTTGCTGTGCAAGGTAGTAGACACGTTGGAGTTCCAAGTCTCCCCAACGTGATTTTCCTGCCATGGCCGAAGCGGCCACACGTTGATTGCGTAAGCTGTACAAGACCGTATTGGGTGGAACTGGTGGGGCCACCTCATTGATGGCGGGTGGGGCTGCTTCTGCAGGTGGTGCATTGGCAGGTGGAACTTCCGCTTGTTGTTTGAGAGAGGCAAAAATGGCCTCTTGGGCTTTTTGAGTTTCCTTGTCTCCCCAGCGAGATTTTCCGGCGGTAGCAGCAGCTGCCACAGCTTCGGTTCGTTGGGCATAAAATAGTTGGGCAGGAGTCTCCGTCGTGCTAGGAGGCGCCGTGACATCGTTCATGGCTGGAATGACATTGGGTTCCGGAGCTGCTGGCTCGGGGGCTTCTGGTTCTGTAGCTGCTGGTTGGGGGGCTTCTGGCTCTGTAGCTGCCTCTGGCTCTGTAGCTTCTGGGTCTTTAGCTGCTGGGTCTTTAGCTGCTGGCTTGGGTGCTGCATCCATGGCTTCCTTGTATTTCTTTTCCACAGCATCCAACACCTCCTGAACTGCTTTTTGTTTTTGTTCCTGAGCACTCACAATGTAGTTGGCCATCCAATTTTGGTATTGCCCGACAGCTGCAATGAGTTGTTCCTTGGAGAGGTTTTCCAAGTTGGGATCCACCACAGGTGCTACATCCAAAGCAGCTGGTGGGGGTGGTGGGGCGGCCATTCCCTGCTGAGCTTCCGCCAATTGTGTCTTTAAAGCTTTAATTTCGGCATTTTTCGTGTCTTCTGCTGCCTTGACAGCTTTCAATTTTTCTTCATGGGCTTTGGCCATGTATTCCATCAATACAAACGGAGAATCGGCAGGTGGAGGTGGATTGGCGTCGGCCACCATGCCTTCGAACTTTTGGGCTGCAGCCAGTTGCACTTTGAGCGCTTGAATCTCAGCATTTTTCTTATCTTCGGCTGCCTTGATGGCCTTTAGCTTTTCTTCGTGAGCCTTGGCCAAATATTCGCTCAGAACAGCGGCACGCTGCTCTTGTGGTGTAGACATGGAGAGACTACATGTAGTGGAAGAATGGTGGATATCGCTGGCAGTGGGCGGTACCACAAATCCTGCCACACAGGAATGCGACATCATGCTGACGCCCAGTAGAAAGGAGCCAACGGCAAAGGATGAGAACCTCATGTTGCAACACAGATCTTGGTTGATTGCTACAAAGTCAGATTGGACAAAAGTATGGGGAATGCGGAGAAGAAAGCATAGGAGAAGAGCTCCAAAGGGCTCTCTCTCTCGAGATCGAGGGGAATAGGCGAATAGCCACAGCCTTAACAAAGTTACTCTTTCTAAAGAAACAAGAATCGCCCTTCAATCCACAACAAATTCAACCAAAAGATCCGTGGGAAGCCCAAAACATAACAATAATAATTTACCGGTAAAACACGGGCGCCCAACTTCAGGGCTGCTCGACCACTTCGAGCGCGGGCAATAATTGCCAGCTTTGAAAGCTTAATAGCATCGGCTCGCACAGGCACCATCCAAAAATCTTTTCTCTAGACTACTAGCTAGTATTTTCTCTTTTGATTGTCGGTACTCTTCACCATGACAGAAATAAGCAGCGACAATAATCCAAGCACTGAGACTACTACTACTACTACTACTAATAGTACATGTAATCCTTCCAGCACAATCCAAGCCGAAGAAGTCCTGATTAAGAATGGTAAACCTCTGGCCAAACTGGACCCGAATCATGCCCTGAGATCATTTTCGTTGGGCGAACGGATCAAGGGAGGAAGATCGATTCTCAAGCTGACCAATCTGATCCAACCCGACGAGATTGACACTCTAGTCAAGTCGTCTCTTGCAGCTGCGGAGGAACGCAAGGGAGGCAGCACAGAGCCAATATTGGAACAAGACGACCCCAACCGAGTGTTGATTCGACTCCTGCCCACCGCCACGGCGCAGCGAGAAAATGCGCCCCAGGATGCGCTCCCCGAACCCGTCTCCCAGTTGATGGAGGAAATATTGGAACGAGCCTTGACATTTCTCGATCAACAAGTCTGTCCCAGTGTCCGAACGACTCTGTTTGGCGACGACTGTTCCAGCATGGCGGCGCTGTTGCGCGACAATCAACTCGAATATTCCAATCGAGAACCAGCCATTAATGTCTACGAGGCACCACATGGCCACTTTAACATGCACAAGGACCATCACGCGCTTTCCATTGTCATGCCCTTGTCTGTGCCTGCCAAAGATTTCAAAGGCGGCGGGACAGCATTCTGGAGTCAATCGCATCCGATTCAAGGAATGGATTCACCCTCGATTGTGTTAAAACCCCCACCGGGTACTGCCATGGTGTGGGGAGGACGAGTCAGTCACAAAGGGGTCCGGATCACCCAAGGAACGCGAGTGGTCTTTGTCGCCAGTTTTTCCGGTCCCAATACTCCGGACGATGTCCGAGCGCGTCTTTCGGCAGGAATGGGACTTCGGACTGTTCTAAGTGGGAGATGAATAAAGGAACTGTACAAATAGCTAATGAATTGAAAAAGTCAATGGCTAGTTTTAGATTCAGCTGCAAGTTATTGCTGGTCCCCAATTTATGTTTGTTTGTTTTCATCGAGTAGGCAATTTCAATAGTATTGGTCCCAGAGACAATGCAATGGCCGTGGCAGTGGCATACCCCAAAATGCCCACCAACAAGGCTGGTAGTACCAACCGTTTCCATTGTTTGGCTTGTGCCATTGCGGCTGCAGTTGTGGGACCTCCAACGTTGGCATTACTAGCCAAATGAAGTTCCCGAAAGGGCAATCGGAACAGTCCTCGCCCCAGCGTTACCAGAACCACATAGTGCACGGCAATTTGCAGGGCACTAAAGACAAACAAACTGGGCGCTTGTTGCAAGACGAGGCGCAAGGACCCAGCCGCCCCCGATGTGGCAAAGAACATTTGAATAAAGACAATGCCCAAGGCTGTACCGGCGGATCGAATGCGGGCAAAAAAGTTTGGTCGGAGGGTGGCAGCGATTACCGTCAAGAGGGAAATCATGGGAAGTGCCGATGTGCCGGGAGGAAGGATCCAACGGGTGATGCCACGACCCCCCGCCACCAATGTGGATGCCACGGAAATGGCCACGGCCAGTGTGGATAGATTGATATTGCTACTGCCGCTGGAGGATGACGTGTCGCTGACAGATTCGGGGTCGACAACACTGATTGCATCTGTGGATTGTGGTTGTTCTGTTTGTGTGTTGTCACTTTCATTGTCGTCGTCTTCTCCTTCTGGAGACATGGCAAACAGAAATGCAAAATAGAGTGCCACCACGACATTGTCCGCGGCAATGGCAGCCGAGACGGCCGATCCACTAATGTTCAACGTTTCTGCCACGGCGACAAAATTAATGGCTCCACCAATGTGTCGCGCTGCCAAGGCGCACGCTACACGCCAACCGACATTGGGACCCATGGACGTGAGTGGCAACAAGGGAAATGCCACCAGTGTTCCCACGACGGTGGCCACGGCTCCCACGGCAAATGCCAGCAACAAGGACCCCGTGTCGGTCACGACTCGTTTCAAGTCGGAATCAAACAAGAGCATGGGAACTGCCAACGGGATCAAGTAGCGATTGGTCATGGCGTAAATGGGAGATTCAAATGGGATAATGCCGAGATTGGCCACTGTCAATGCCAATGCCATGGTGGCTAGTGGTGCCTAATACATGTATTAACATCATAGATGTTAGAAGGGTAACAACAAAAAAGATTGATTCATCCAAACACTGAACACCAGTTCTTACCGACAGCGCTTTTCCAAGTGTGGTTCGTTTCTCGAGAGAAATTCCAAAGGTCGAGAGCCAAAGGATGGCTGTCAAGACAAACGTAGAGTCACCGTGCAGAGTCTTGAGAGTGGAGGATGCCATGCGAATTGGAATGGCAGACAGAGCGGTGGTCTGTCGGGAGCTGGCACCACGTATTCTATACGAGTCGGAAAGAGCTGCACAGCCTTTGGATCTGCAAGGGAGGTTGTTGCCCAAAGGTATTAATCGGTTGGGTATGCTGCTGGGATGACGACCATACAACAAGTTGTTGGCACCCGGATGCAACGGCGAAAAGGCCAACACT